TTATTGATTTCTTCCCACCTTTGATATGTGATGCCCACGGGTGTTTCTTTAATTGCATTTATACAATTGTCTTTTCTTAAAATTTCATTCATATTTAGTTTCTACAATGAGAAATCATTCCCATTTAACTTTTTTATCTCATTTTGTTGTCATGCTTTTAACCAACGTATGCACCTCTCACTATAAATAGTATTGCCTACTAGAACGACGACATAGATCGTAACTAGTACACCAGGTATGCTTCCTGGAAGGAGAAGTGAGTCACAAATAGACACGCTTAAATACTAAGTCTTTCCTTTCCAAAATTTTTCCTAGACATGCATTATCACACTACCACACTGTATATTTAGTAATTGGAATAATTCTTTTCTAATGTGGAAGATCAGATTAACTGCAACCATAGAGCATACTAAGAATGTTCTTAACACAATTCTAATGACTATAGTAGCGAAATAATAATACAACCAAGAAATCAATGTCACTGTTAGGAATCAGAGTAATTGCATAAAAACTAACAACTAAAATAAAAAATTAGAAAAGATGAACAAAACCAACAATCACAATAATATAATTTTACTACAAGAAGAAATTACAATACCTTCTTTAAATCTAAGGAAAAAAAATAATATTCTTTATAATAAATAAGAGAACTCAACTATTATGTAATGCACTAGTAGAAAAGATAAGGAAGAGACTTTTGGTGATTTACAAGGTAAACATTGTACTCCTTTTATAACAGGAAAAGTAAGCACCAACATATAATTTTCTTAATGTGAGACTTCTCTTCTCACATTCTCACAATTATGTGCATTGAAAAATATTGTGTTGTAAACATGAGAATTATCAAGGGGTATCCTCATATATATGGTGTAATGTGTATGAATATTGGATTGAGGATTTGATAAGAGATTATTTTGATTCTACTAATTATTGAAATCACATAAATTAAGGGATAAGTCGTGAGAGTTTATGGAGGTTTTTCTTACTTGGTCTGAGTTGTGCATTTCATTAGTAACATAAATATTAGGGATTTACCCTAGTCACATTTGTAACGATGGTCTGATTTATGTGAATCTAAGTTATTGATTGTTTTATGTGACAAATACAAAATTTTGTCTATAAATCATTATCTAATCTTTCAAAGTCATATAATACTTATGTAATGTTAATGTAAATTTATATTGACTTGATGTAATGTCGTGTGAGGTGAATTGTCATGAATTTATGTAATATTAATATAGTGCACATAATTATTGTTTTATACTAAATTTAAATTTTATGTTTATTTTAAATTATCAACTAGTATGTTTATTTGTTGCTTTTAAATTTTAAGGATAATATGTTTTATACTAATTTTTTTACTTTTTATTACATTGTTTTGAATGTTTTATAATAAAATTTAAAAAAAATCCAAGTTATTAAAACACTGTAATATGCAAATCCACATGTAGCACATTTAAGAAATTTTAGATAAAGCGTATAAAATTAAAAAAAATATTAGAAAATTGAAAAACATATATTGTTTATAGTCATATAGAAAAAATAAAAAAAAATAAGAAATAATAATCACGGTAATAAAACTTAACATAATTATAACATAATACATATTATCTATAAAAATATATTATTATTCATTTTACTTTTGTTCAACTTTTTTATGTTTCACTATAATAAAATAATATCATTTTCATCATAATTATTTATTTATTTTTCTTTTCTTTTCACCGGTGTATTTTTCTCCTATTTTTTTAAACAAAATAATATCATTTTCATTATTACTATTTATTTATTTTTCTTTTCTTTTGGCAGGTATTTTTTTCCTTCTATTTAACTGAACAAAGGTAAATGTTTCATTCATATTTCATAGAAAATTCAAACAACATTTAAAATAAAATTAGGAAATATAATCATGAGTACACTACTAAAAATTGGGATTCATCTAATAATTTACAACAATTAGAAGCTATGGCAGTTCATTACATGAATCAATAACTAGAACTAGTTAACAACAAATTCAATAAGTTCAACTGTTCATAAAAAAGAAAAAAAAAACATCTGGAACCAACCACTCTAAGTGTCCACAACCTCACAAACACAACTTAATTTTAATGTTTTAAATCACATAAAAATAAAAGTACATTTGAAACCACCTAAAAAAAAAAAGAAGTTCGCATGAAAGCACATAAGAAATAAAAGTACATCAGGGAAAAAAAAATACATGTACACCAATTTGACTAACCATCCAAAAATTAACCTAACCAATCAATTTGTCCTTTAGTTATTTAGTTCTGCTACTTGTTTGGTTATTTAGTTGACGACTTAAACAAAGAAATTAAAATGGATTGATTAATTAAAACAATCCAACTCACATTGTTTTTCATGTTTGAATAAGAAGAAATTAAAATATCTCATACATTTATTTTTTATTATTATTTTGTTTTTGTTTAATTTATTATAATTGTTATCAAATTAATTTAAAAAAAAAGTCTTCAAAAATTATAAAAAATGATATCATAAATTATATTTACCTAAAATATACTTTTGATCACAAGAACCAACCAAATCAAGAAATGATGTAATATATTTTTATATCATTTTATATTTATGAACTAGGTATAATCAACTTTTTCTTTTTAATATCTGTGAACATAAAAGGCCAATTTTATTAAACTCTTATAATTTAATATTTTTATACAACAATCAACTACTAACTTGATGAAAATAATGATTTAACTGGCAATTGATTTTTCTAATTTTGATTAACTTCTCCATTTCTCTTGTTGAAAAAACTCTAGTATCATGCACTTAAGAAATAAGATTTTAAGAAACATTTTTTGGTGAATTTTTTTCACACGGAAGTTCTAGTTCATATTTCTAAGAAACCTAATTATCTTTCTTCATTTTATAATATATTTATTTTGTTCAATTCAGTTCATCTATTAATATAGTATTTAATCAAATCTTTTAGTTTTAAAAATATAACAACGTAAATTTTTTAAGGTTCCATAAGTTTCCTCCATTTTAATTTAAATGTGACATGATAATGTGAACTTTCTGGTTAATTTTATAAATTATGACTATAAATTATTTATGTTATATTATTTTTTTAAAATTAATGAACTTGATTGAATATTTAATAATAGTAGGAAATAATGGATTGAAATAAATAAATAAATAATTGAATAAAAATAATATGACTAAACAAAATTTTATTTCTTTTTATCTCTCTCCGTTCAAAATACAATAAAAAATGTCCAATCAAAGTTCAAAAGGATTTCACAAATTTTCATCATGTAATTCTGCATCTAACTGAAACTGACCTCTTAAGGTCACCAAACCAGCACAGTGTGTCAATTTTTATATGGAATTAAGGACCGGGCATGATGACTGAGATTCCCTTTAATGACCCACAAGTCAGTCAAAATTTTAAAAAATGATTAAAAAATAAAGACTAAAGATACTTTAAAAAAATTGATATTATTATGTATATCTCTATCTGCAGAATAATAAATAAATTCACCAATAGTAATAGTTGAAGTATAACAGAACCATATGGCTAAACCAAGAGATGCTTTAGAGCATGTCCAACATATCAACATATTTACCACTGCTGCTCTTGGATTTAACTTAGCTGTATTAAATGTTTGTTGAAATTATATTCTCTTTGTTACAGAGTATCTGCAGCCTGCAGATTCGGCCATCATAACCATATCTATCGCTATATTATGGAGTTATAGGACCAATTTGACAAAACAAAATGAATAGCAAAAGAGAAAATTATTTTTTCTTTCTCAATAAATATTTTTAGCTTTTGAATACAAAAATGATTAACTCAAGTAGCAAACTGAAAATTTAAAAGGAATCTCAATAATTTAAAGTTGACTTCGAGTTTTTTTTGTTGGGGTTTTGAATTGTCCCATGTCACATTGAGATTAGTTTGGAGTGAATTCTAATAATGGATCTCACCTTCAAATTGTATGTCAACAAAATAAACTGCTGTGGAACTTATAAAAAAGAAAAGTGGAGAACCTTCACATTCTTTGCATTATGTGAATGAACTACATAGTGTTTTTGAGTGAAAGCAATAATTAGAAAATTTTCAACCAACTGTCATTTGTAGAAAAAATACAGTAAAACTATCATTGCACCAGAGAAAAGGATGCAGTGTTGGTGATTCATGCAGTTTTTGTAATGCTTATTTGAGAAAAAGAGAGGTGTAGAAAACTCATCTCTAAGCAAAGAATCAAGACAGTAGTATTTTCTTCATACACATGAAGAAACTCACCATTTCTAAGCTTAGAAAATGGCCTGCATAGCCTCTGAGACTACTGAAGTGTAGAAAGAATTAAATCTGGTAGTTGAGCAATTCGTGGACAAATAAGTAATAAGTATGTTTAGCTCTTTGGTTTTGTTGTATTATAGAGACCTCTGTATGAATTTTTATAGAATTAATTTCATCTGGTCTTATGAAAGAATTTGTAAGTGTTCAACTAAATTTTGAAAAAAAAAATGACTCAATAATATTATGAACTCAGTTTACACTTATATAAACTACCGAATTGAACCCAAATTCATGAAATGAACATTCTACTGTCTTTTAATGAATCGTGTGTATAAATTTCACTCCCACTACCCCTAGCCTTTTGACTGCTACCCATAACAATATGATTATCTTGCTAAGTTTTTTTTTTTTGGAAGGGGAGAAAACATTTGACATTTTAAAAATGGAATTTCACTCTGAAACTTCAAATTTATCACTTATTATGGAGCAAAATACATAATAATAACCACAGACAAAGTACTAATTAAAAAAAAAAAAAAAAACATACGTATTAAAAGTCATATCTATCATACTTTGAAATTGAACCATTTTCATGTAATGACGTCAAGACTTACCCTTTGGAAAATTTGAACTTGAAGCAATTTTGAATATAACTGGTTACATATAGAATTCATTCTTACTTGGCCACCAACCACCTCCTTAAAAATAACACTAACATTTACATCTGGGGCATTCTTATCGTTTCCCTCCATGTGCAGTACCCTTGCCAACAACTGCAGTTATCTATTCTATCATTATACAAATCTGGTCCCGTCAATGGGAAAAGAAGCCACAAGAAGCCCAGGAATCCTATTATGAATGTTACACTTATAATCCCTGAAACAGACATAGAAACAAATGAATAAGTCCAAAAGAACATTTTATATGGAAATGAATAGTAAAGCCATAAATCACCTTATCCATAGTCCAAGGACAAGAAATGAGCAGACCATGAGTACAGTTTATCGTACTAACTAACAGTGTTTTCCTCCCCTGGACCCCTCTCTTTTAAGAAAATAAAATAAAATCTTCCTACACATGCACCATATAGGTCTTACGAAGAGTTACTGGGGTGTCACCATCAGATATTAGATCTAGATATTCAATAATAATGGCCATGGAAGTATCAGAGCCACATCTAAACATTCATGCTAGATAAACCTTGGATAAAATAAACATACTTTCTATTACAGAACAAACTTTTAAAAATAATGATTTAATCTTGATTCATTGTTGGTGTAAAATTTAGAGCTAAGCATGTAATGTTGTCACATATATACCAAACTTCAAAAATAAAAATTTTGTTCATTGCTAGTGAACTATCTTAGCGATCTCATACAATAATGTTCAGTGCTAACAACTAACAGCAATTTCAGAAAGCTAGAATAATTGTAACTAACTAACTATATATATATAAAAGTACTTTGCTACATTATAGTACTCCATTCTTTGTTTCATATTTTTAATAAAAATAATTCATAATAAGAGGAGATATAGAAGAATATTACTTAATAGTACAACGACAATCATTGCTAATAATTTCAAAATTTATAATTAGACCTACACTCAGAAGTCTAACTGAAACTAAACTTCTAAATCTATTATAACAAATTGCAGTACATTTTTGAGCTATACATCATACTAAGTTCAGAATAATTCACATTTGAAATTTCCTTCAATAAGCAACTTAACACATACCATTCCTCTGCGAATACAATACAGGAAGTCCCATAAAATTACAATATATGTGCGCCACTAAAGGTGCTACAAGGTGTCCTGCAAACCATGAGCCAAAAACAAATATAAGAGACAGAAAAAAGGAAGAACAGGTCACCCTGGTTCCGCATTAGAACTGAACCAATCCCCAAAAATTACTACAACGCTTAGGGCTCGGATAAAGAAGGCTAAATTAACAGAGTGAATAAAAAATGATACCAAGTCATAGTATTATAAGATCATATTATCTGTCTTTCCTATCGTATCTGTCAACCCAACATAGAGATAAACTTTCTGTACATTTCAGGCAAGTGCTTCACTCTACATCTGCCCAACAAATCAAATTTTGGTTTAGCTCCTACAGTTTTATTTTTTTAGTTTTTGGTCCCTATAGTTTCATTAAGTTTAGGTTTTGGTCTCTAGTATAACAAACATTAGTCTTGACAGTTGTCTGACTTGTCTCTTGAAGAATATGCACGGGGGCATGTTGTTAGAGGCAAGGACAGAAATCAAATAAATAAAACTATAGGGACTGAAAAAAACAAACTTTTACAGGGACCAAAGAGGTATTTACATCTTATAAACGAGGTTCGTTGTACTTTAAACTTAAAGAGTACAATCACTTTCCTGTCTAAAGGGTAAATCCGAGTCATTTTTATCCTCATAGTCATCATCCAATCATATTGTTAGCAATGCTGATTGTATCTAAATTTACTTTTCAAAAGCGCATTTATCATCAATAATATAGTCAGACCAAATATATCAAAGTCATAAACCCATAACCATAGATCAAATTCTCTAAGGCCACATACCAGTTCGAATGAAAAGAAATGATGCATATGAACCAAAGACAACCGTGTAGCCAAGTTGGAGACCTGCCAACAATTTCCTTTTTGCAGTGAGATTATCATTCAAAAATACTATGTTCAAATTCTTGAAATGCCCCAAAATCTCAAATGATCTATTCAAGATACAGCAACTTTGCCAATGTGACTTTGATATAACAAATCCTGGAGATGAATAAACATAACCATACCTGTAACCATAACAAGCTTCATAAATCTGTAATTTTGCTTGCTGTAAATCTCCACGAAATGATTTAAATGTGCTGCAAACCAATCATGCAGTAAAACTTCTCATTAAACCTTGCATTGCATTTGAAAAGGACAATAATTTCTGCTCATTATTTTCTTCAATCTACAGGAAAATGAAAATTTATTGAATATTCTAAGGGCTTTTAGCTCACTATTAAAACTTTTGTCCAGCATCACCATAATGCATAATATGCATTAGTTTTTCTGGAAAATTAGATTAAATGAAATCTTATTTTATTATTTTAATACAAAGAGATCATACAAGATATATACAAGAGACCTAAGTTATTTTAGGAAATATAATAACTCTATTTTATTCTAGGATCCCTTGATTTATGAGATTGTTCCTAATTGTTCAAATCTGTACATATTACAAATTTCCTAATTTATTTTTTCCTAAAATACTATTTGATTTCCCACACTCCCCCTCAAGCTGGTGAATAGGTGTTTTCCATTCCCAGCTTGCATACAATCTTCTCAAAATTGTGACAGCTCAGTCCCTTGGTAAGAATGTTTGCAACTTGGTCTTGAGAGGACACATATGGAGTGCATATCAAGCCACTCTCAAGCTTTTCTTTAATGAAGTGTCTGTCTACTTCAATATGCTTTGTTCTATCATGTTGCACGGGTTGTGGGCTATGCTGATTGCTGACTTATTATCACAATAGAGCTTCATAGATTCTTCCCATTTTATCCTAAGTCTTCTAAGATGATTTTAAGCCATAGCAACTCACATATACCTTGTGTCATGGCTCGTAATTCCGCTTCAGCACTGGACTGAGCCACTACACCCTGCTTTTTGCTTCTCCAAGACACAAGATTTCCTCCAAGAAAGGTGCAATATCCTATAGTTGACCTCCTATCTACAATTGACCCTACATAATCAACATCAGTATAGGCTTCAAGTTTCACATTACCATTCCTTTTGAATAGAATCCCTCTTCCTGGAGTTCCTTTAAGGTACTGTAAAATCATGTGGGCTGCTTGTAAATGGGTCTCCTTTGGGTTATGCATAAATTGGCTAATTAAACTCACTGCATAGGCAATATCTGGCTTGGTATGCGACAAATATATAAGTCTGCCCATTAATCGCTGGTACATATCTTTTTCAACAGCAACATCTTCTTCTGCATTTCCAAGCTTCAGGTTTGGTTCTAGTACTAACATGTTTGCAAGCTGTCTTGCCAGTTTCCTTGAGCAAATCAGTGATGTATTTGTGCTGGGATATAAATATCCCTTTCTTGGAATGGGCAACTTCAATTCCCAAAAGATATTTTAGTTTTCCCAAGGTCTTGATCTCAAATTCCTTGCCTAAGGAATGGCTCAATAATTGCTGCTCTTCTTTATTATCTCCAGTTAATATTATGTCATCCACATACACCAATAATATTGTTACTCCCCTTGACTTGGAATGTTTAAAGAACAAAGTATGGTCCCCTTGGCTTTGTTTGTAACCCAGACCTGTCATAACTTTAGTAAACCTGCCAAACCATGCACAGGGGGACTGTTTTAGCCCATATAATGGCTTTTTCAACTTGCAAACAGTGTTGGCAACAACATCTCTACCATATCCCGAAGGTATGTCCATATAAATTTCTTCTTCAAGGTCTCCATGTAGGAAAGCATTCTTAACACCAAATTGTTCCAAGTTCCAACCATATTGGTAGCAAGGGATAATATCACCCTAACTGTGTTAATTTTGGCAACCGGAGCAAAGGTCTCCAATATAATCAACTCCATAGGTTTGAGTGAACCCTTTGGCAACTAGTCTTGCCTTATATCTCTCAATTGATCCATCAGCCTTGTATTTCATTGTATAGACCCACTTACATCCAATTGACCTCTTTCCTATTGGTAAGGTGACTAACTCCCAGGTGTTCTTCTCCAATGCCTCCATCTCTACATCCATGGCTTGCCTCCATTTTTTGTCAGACAATGCCTTAGATAGGGTATTAGGTAGAAGTACAGTGTTTAGGTTTACTAGGAAGGTTTTATGGGTAGGAGAGAAATTTTTAAAGGACAGGTAATTTGAGAGAGGGTAGAGTGGTTGTTTGGTGCATTTTCTTGTCCCTTTTCTAATGGCAATTGGGAGGTCAGAATCATTTTGGGTTTCAATTTCAACCTGCACAGTTGGAGAAAAAATTATTACCTCTTTTTGTGGCGTCGAGTTGGATTCTTAGACATGACTTGATCCTGGAATGGCCTTAGTCTTCCTTTAGTACATCAGCTTCTTACCAAATTTTCTAGCTTCAACATCTTCCTTGACTTGTTTCACTTGTTACAACTTCAATTTGATCTCGTTTAGGTTCAAATATCAAGTCTGAAAGAATGGGAAAACCAGAATTACTACTTTCTTTATCTTCCCTGAAACTCTCCCCCTAAAGATAAGATTTATGGAAATAGCCCTCTTGTTCATTGAAGGTAACATCCCTAGACACAAAGAATTTTTTGGATGGAGGGTGGTAGCATTTATACCCTTTCTAAGTGGGTGAGTAACCAACAAAGACATACTTTAAGGCTCTAGGATCAAGTTTCCCCTTGTCTGTACTATGAATATGGACATATGAGATGCACCCAAAAACTCTTGGTTTAAGGTTCCAACATAAAACCAATTGACAATAAGTGGAGTAGCCTAACATGTATTTAAACCATATCAAATGACATGAGATAGGCGATGTAGGACTTTCAACACGCCCCCTCCAACGAAGCCTACTAGACCAGGCAAAGGGTACTTTTGACCTACAACGAAAGGACAACTTTTGGCTCAAGACAATAACCGGAAAGATGTTAGGTTTTGGCTCTGTTACCATCTGAAAAATTAGATTAAATAAAATCTTATTTTATTATTTTAATACAAAGAGATCATACAAAATATTTACATGAGACTTAAGCTATTTTAGGAAATATAATAACTCTATTTTATTCTAGGATCCCTTGATTTATGGGATTGTTCCTAATTGTTCAAATCTGTACAGATTACAAATTTTCTAATTTATTCTTTCCTAAAATACTATTTTATTTCCCACATTTTCACTAAAGTGTAAACCAAAACTATTTTTGTGCTTACATCTTTGGCCAATACTGTTGAAAGAGGTTGTGCATGGGACACAATCTGAATACTGAACAGTGTTTTATCCACTATATTTCCTTTTTCTTAGGCTACATGTACCCTTTTACAATTCGTAGTTAATATTTATTCATGTATCTTGTTTAAAATATAATGGCAGCAAGTTATTTTGCAATATATATTCTAATTAAAAGAGAGAGTTAAAAAATTGTCTAATGAATCGAGATGTGCTAAAAAAGGTACACCGCAATCTCTTGTATGAATGAATATGCATACCCATAAGTGCATATACACACATACACACATGCTTCTTCAGCTTACAACCATAAAATGAATTTAGTGTGTCCCTTTGAAAGTTGTTAGATATGATTAGATATTAGTTGATATTGTTGAGATATTGTTAGATATTGTTAATCACAATATCAAATAATATCTTTTTATTTACCCTATTTGTATTCTCGTTACTCTTTTGAGGAGTACCTTTCTTTATTATAAATACACTCGCCTTATGTGTGGTAAATACATAAGGGAAATTAACCCTATATTCAACATGGTATCAAGAGCTTAAGGTCTCTTGGGATTTTTTTCGGCTCTGCCACTGAACCTGCAGCTGTCGCCGCCTCCATCGCCGCCATGTCGCCACCGCCGTCCGCCGCCGTCGCCGAGTAGCGGTTCGGACCGCCGAAGCACGGGGTTTTGCTCGCCTCCTCCGTGCGACCTCCACCGTGGAAGTTTCGTGGTCATCGGAGCGGCCACGCTCCCTCACGCGCCTCCCGAAGCCGCGCCACCTTCTCCCGTTCCGCCGCGCGTGGCGCGCGTCTCGCCGCCGTTCGGGCTGCCGATCTTTGCGCCGGCGTCGCCTCCTTCTCCTCTCTCCGGATCTGTCCTCGCTCGCTCCAATCGGACCTCTTTGGTGTTTTAGGGTTTTCTCTCTCTTCCTCCATGGCATCTTCCGCGCCACTTCCAATTCGAAGTTACCTCCGTCGGCTCCGGTGGAGTCCGAGCAATCTGTTTTTACTAATTATGTCAATGTGAATTTACCCATTGATAAATTAGATGGTACGAATTATGCAACTTGGGCATCCGATATTAGACTTTGGCTTGAGAGTCGGGGGTATGTTGATCATCTTACTACCAAGGTAGATGATGTTCCTTCCAATGATCGTGTCCGTTGGAAGAAAGTTGATGCTCATATATGTATGGTTCTCAAGAATACCATCCAATCTTCTTTAAAACAAATTTTTCGATCGTATGGCACATGTTATGACGTTTGGGAACAAGCCAAATTATTATACACCAATGACACTCAACGTCTTTATGGTGTTTGTTACAATCTTCTTGATGTTATTGCTCCTCGAGATAAGGATCCTGTGGCGGATTATGTGGGTAAGATCCATGCTCTTCTCCATGAATTTAATGAGTTATTACCCCTGCCTCGACTCCTGCCCAAGAATTAGAGCAACGATCAAAGTTTTTCATGGTTTTGATGTTACACGGACTTGCCTGATAAATATGCCCCTATTCGTGACCAGATTTTGGGTTCCCCTGTTACACCCAGCTTTACCGCTACCAGTTCCTCCCTTTTGCGGGTGCCATGTAAACCTCTCAATATTCCCCCTGTAGTTTCTAATGATTCATCCGCCTTGGCCTCTCACCGTGATGATCGTAATCGCTCTCACAAGCCGGGCAAAGGGCGTGTCAAGTGTGACCATTGTGGCAAACTAGGCCACAAAATTGACAAATGTTATGCTTTACATGGTTATCTTCGTCGATCTGCTGCAGTTGCTCGGATCGATTCTTCCGCACAATCCTCTGCTTGTGGATCCTCCTTCGTCTGTACCTTCGGACAAATCTGCTATCTTCAATGATTTTCTTCAATGGTATGAGGATCGAAAGCCCTCCAGTTCCACTACTTCGTTGCCCACACGAGTACATCTTTTGCTTGGTCCGACTCACTCTTCTTCTATTGGCCCTTGGGTTCTTGACTCGGGCGCCACCGATCACATCACCGGTAACAAATCCTTATTTTCCTCTTTCACTTCTTCTCATAATTTATCCTCTATTACAATGGCTAATGGGTCTACAACTTTAGCTCATGGTGTTGGAATGGTTACTCTTTTTCCCTCGTTGTCCATTGATAATGTTTTGTATGTACCGGGTCCCCCTTTAACTTATTATCCATTAGCCAGTCTAACTCGATCTCTTGATTGTGTTATCTCTTTTACCAAAACTTTTGTTTCCCTACAGGACCGGAGCTCGCAAAGAGTGATTGGCACCTGGATGTGAGTCACATGGACTTTATTATCTTCAACCTTCTCCACATGTTGGCACGGTTATGGAGTCTCCTTCTCTCCTTCATGCTCGGCTTGGTCACCCCGGTCTGCGCAAATTACGAGCAACTTGTTCCCGGCTTATCCCGAGTTGTCCAATTTGGTGTGTGAGTCCTGTCGGTTAGGCAAACATAGTCGTACTTCCTTTTCTCGTAGTGTTTCCCGGCGTGCTTCATCCCCCTTTTCCTTAGTTCACTCGACATTTGGGGACCCGGTCGTGTTAAGTCTAATTTAGGTTTTCAATATTTTGTTACTTTTATTGATGATTTCTCTCGTTGTACTTGGTTATTTTTAATGAAAAATCGTTCCGAGTTGTTTTCTATATTCCAAAACTTTTATCATAAAATTAAAAATCAATTTGGTGTCTCTATTCAAACTTTTCGAAGTGATAATGGCCGTGAATATCTTTCAAACTCGTTTAAACAATTTATGGCTTCTCATGGCATTCTTCATCAAACTTCCTGTGCTTATACCCCTCAACAAAATGGGGTGGTTGAGCGCAAGAATAGACACCTTATTGAAACAACCCGTACTCTTTTAATTCATGGTGAGGTTCCTCAACATTTTTGGGGTGATGCTTCGTTCTTACTGTTCGTTATCTTATTAATCGTATGCCCTCTTCGGTTTTAGATAACAAAATTCCTCATTCTATTTTATTTCCTCATGACACTCTCCATCCTTTACCTCTCGAAGGTTTTTGGGTCTACCTGTTTTGTCCACAATTTTGATCCTGGTCATGATAAGTTATCTCCTCGATCACACAAATGTGTTTTCTTAGGATTTACTCGATCCCAAAAAGGATACAAGTGTTTTTCTCCTTCTATTAATCGCTATTTTGTGTCTGCTAGATGTCACCTTCAATGAGTGTTCCTTTTACTTTAAGAACCCTTCCCTACCTGCTGAGTCTCCATCTCGCTACAGTTCCCATTCCCGTTCTCATTGATCCTTATGTTGAGGACCATCCACCATTAGCCCCTCCTCCTCCACCACCCCTTCGGGTTTATAGTCGCAGACCTCGCCCACAACGAGACGCCACATGACTCACTCCCAGTGCCAAATACTCTGCCTCCTCCGGTTCGGTCCACGTAGTCCGACCTTCCTATTGCCCTTCGTAAAGGTACGCGTTCTACTCGTAATCCTTCTCCACATTATACTCGCTTTAAGTTATCATCGAATTCCTTCACCATTTTATACCTGTCTCTCGTCTATTTCTTCTGTGTCTATTCCTAAACTGCTCTCTCGAAGCCTTAGCCCACCCTGGTTGGCGTCAGGCCATGCTAGATGAACTCGGTGCTCTTCGAGACTAGTGGAACCCGGACGCTTGTCCCATTACCATCTCGGAAAATCTGTTGTTGGTTGCGGTGGGTCTTCGCTATCAAGGTTGGTCCTGATGGTACTATTGATCGCCTCAAAGCTCGCCTTGTAGCCAAAGGCTATACCCAAATTTTTGGGTTGGATTATGGTGATACTTTCTCTCCGAGTGGCAAAGATGGCTTCGTTCGTTTATTCATTGCCATGGTTGCTATTCAACAATGGCCTCTTTATCAACTGGATGTCAAAAATGTTTTCTTGAATGGCAATTTGCAAGAAGAGATTTATATGGAGCAACCTCCCGGATTTGTTGCTCAGGGGAAGTCTTCTGGATTAGTATGTCGTCTTCGCAAATCTTTATATGGCCTAAAACAGTCTCCTAGGGCCTGGTTTGGAAAATTTAGCAGCGTTGTTCAACAATTTGGCATGACTAGAAGTGAGGCGGACCACTCAGTCTTTTACCAGTCACTCGAATCTCTGGATGTATCTATTTGATAGTGTATGTCGATGACATTGTTCTTACAGTGTAGTGACCATCATGGCATCTCTCGGATGAAACAACACCTTTGCCACCATTTTCAAACCAAAGATCTTGGCAAACTCGGATATTTCTTGGGTATTGAGGTAGCACAATCTACCGATGGCATTGTTATATCTCAAAGAAAGTATGCATTGGATATTTTGGAGGAAACTGGGTTGATGAATTCAAAGCCCGTTGACACACCCATGGATCCTAATACCAAACTCTTGCCAAATCGGGGGAGCCAATGTCGGATCCCGAACGAGTATAGAAGATTAGTTGGAAAATTAAATTATCTTACGGTTACTCGCCCCGACATTTCCTTTGTAGTCGGTGTGGTGAGTCAATTCCTCAATTCTCCTTGTCAAGATCATTGGAATGCGGTCATCCGTATATTGAAGTACATCAAAAAGTCTCCTGAAAAAGGTTTGGTGTATGACTCCCATAATCATACAAGAGTTGTCTCGCTATTCGGATGCCGATTGGGCGGGATCTCCTCCGATAGAAGATCTACATCTCGGGTATTGTGTTTCCATTGGTGGTAACTTGATCTCATGGAAAAGTAAGAAACAAAGTGTTGTGGCAAGATCCAGTGCGAAGCGAGTATAGAGCTATGGCCTCGGCTACCTGTGAACTTATTTGGCTCAAGCAATTGCTTAAAGAGCTACAATTTGGAGATGTCACTCAAATGACACTAGTGTGTGACAATCAGCCGCTCTCCATATAAGCTCTAATCCTGTCTTTCATGAGAGGACTAAACACATTGAGATTGACTCGCCATTTTATTCGGGAAAAGATTATGTCCGGAGACATCAAGACCGAGTTCGTTAACTCATGTGATCAATTAGCGAGATATTTTCACTAAGTCTTTACGGGGACCTAGGATGGATTATCTTTGTACCAAGCTAGGCACATACGATTTGTATGCTCCAGCTTGAGGGGGAGTGTTAGATATGATTAGATATTAGTTGATATTGTTTGATATTGTTGAGATATTGTTAGATATTGTTAATCACAATATCAAATAATATCTTTTTATTTACCCTATTTGTATTCTGTTACTCTTTTGAGGAGTACCTTTCTTTATTATAAATACACTGCCCTATGTGTGGTAAATACATAAGGGAAATTAACCCTATATTCAACAAAAGTCTTCCAAACAACAAACAACAACAACAAAGACAATGACACCATTGATTAAAAATAATTCTCAATTATAAGGTCTTGCGACACAATGCCATCGTTATACTCAAGATTGTTAAACTCGAAAGTCTACATAAACTCATGAAATTTCGTAGACTTAACTCGTAGATTCGACTCAAACTTATTAGAGCTTACATAATATAAAAAATAATATTTAAAAAATCTATTAGTGGCCTATATGCACAACATAATACTTTTGACATCATAATTCAACATTTCAACTTCATAGTAAAGAAAAGTTGCAAGCTACATTATAAAGTATGATAGTACATTAGCGTTCAATAAGATCAAATTTACATAAATGATCTAATCATATATAAATTCATAAAAACATAAGTTTTTACAATGAAAACATTCAAAAAAGAAGCTAATTTCTTCAAATAGCTTGAGTCAATCCTAAACAAAATTGTCACTGTAGGATCAATGTAGGGTAAAAATTACATTGATTTCAAACTCGTTAACTGATTTTTTACCAGAGAGTTTATGTGAGTTTACACAAGTTTAAGGAGTTTACCAGAGTTTACATGGAAAAGAGGAAGTTAAGTCATTTCATCTACCAAAGATCATAAACTCATAAGAGTTAAGAGTTAACTGAAGAGTATGACATCCTTGGTTGTACTACTATGGATGACTCATGTATTCTCTTAAAACATCTTTGAATATTAAATGACAAAAGATACTCATATACTTGTAAGAATAGAAAATTCTACTCTATAGCCTTAGAAATCTGAATCATCTTTTAGAATTGACATCTAAGTACTTACCCAAGCTGAAGAAAATAGGGCAAATAAGAGTAACACTGTATGTTTTAAATCCTCCACACAGAAGTAAAGGTATCATGCATGCCCTAAACACCAACTCCTCAGTAAGGGGTGCCTGTTCAGTATACCATAACAAATCATTCACATAGTGCATGCGATATATGAAACTGAACCTCTAAAACTCACATCACCTAAGCTGTATTCACAAGTTACCGAACAAAATTAATTGCTTCTGTGCTTTCAGTTTGCATTATAAGCACAAGAGAAAAATAAGATAGCTCAGTGGCTTGTTGGAAGCATAAGGCTCAACACACACAATAGGAAAATGGTACTAACCACAACATAGTTTCGCCACACCAAAATATTTGATGACATCGCAGATAACCAGTCAAGAAACTGCTGTAAGGCACATTTGCAGGAATCAAAGGAAAGGGCACCAGCAGAACTTGTGTGTTGCCTCCAAGAAGCCAGTAACAGAACACACTTGAGGAAGATAGACCCAGCATACATTAGGGAGGTCAAGCAAAGTGGAAGGACCACAGCCTGCCACTGTTTCACACAGAAAATTCAGCAATGAGTGACCTTTTATCCCAATCTGCAGAAGGTGGCAAGAAATACAACTTGACATCACCACACAAGAGAAAATGCTCTTTCATCCCTCAATTAAACCAGTGAATTTTATACACGTTACTCACAATATGGTCCTTCCGGATGCCAAATACCCCAACAATGTGACGCAGTTCCTTAGTCTGCACCTGCACACATAGTAAAATAAATCCATAAATGATCAAAAGTGTAAACTTCAAGATTGTGACCATCTAAGCTAATTTCTCCAAATTCCTCACCAATTTCGTAATAATGTACGACAAAAATTAAACGTATTTTGGTACTCTTTAACTAAAACTGAAATTTCACCTTGTGAATCCCCACAATAAAAAATTGCGTCAAAAATATCAAATCTATAAAAGTGAAACTGGAATGATAAGTGGAAAACACCAAATGTATCTAAACAGATGCATGTAATTTTTTGTTCCAAAGATTATTTTCCTTCAATGGATCCTATCTTTACAACACTATTAAATGTAAGACAAATCCCTTGTTAAACTCTCCAGTTGCTAAATACACCTGAGCATTTTAATAATAGTAATAATAATAATATTTAATTACTTACTTATTTATAATAGTTACATAAATAAAATAAAAATAGTATCTATGCTTAAAAGCATATTTCTTAGTCCCTTCATGTATGTTTTTGTATCTCTCTCATTCAGCCATCACCTTACGGACTAAAAAGAACTACAGTGATATCTATAAAGACTACTTAAACGGGAATTAAAAATTATACGTGAAGAACTAAAGGAGAACAGTTTTAATCACAAAAGAGAATGATTTACAGGAATGTAACCATAAAACCAAATGAGTAATTAAACATAACGTGCATACGGGGAGGATAAATGCGGAGAGGAAGAGGGAGAGGATGGACGAAACGACGGCGCACAGGAAGCGTCGAACCATGTAGGTTTGGAAAGAAGAAGGAGGTGGTAGACGGAGGAGGACGGTGGGAGCGTAGAGGATGGCGACGTAGAACAGGGCCATTGCTATGCAAGCGATCAACGCCACTGCCTTCGAAACGATACCGTCTTCCTCCATCGCGGAAGCTTGTTGTTGCAGTTGCAGAAACCCTTGAGAGGAAGAGGGGGAAAAGAACATAAAATAGGGGTTTATGGAAATAGGGAATCTACGTCTCAGTTCAGTTTCAATTTGGGACATTGATTGACTGACTACCTGAAGACGGTTACTATGTTGCTCATCTCAACAAGCCGTCAAGGGATCAGCTTCTAGCAAGGGGTACTTTTTTTTTTTCTTAAAAAAAAAAAGTAAATTGAAAATTCTTAACTTTTTCTCTATTATTGAGATTTGTTTCTGGGTTAATTATTATTGTTATTATTTTATCTTTAACTTGTTTGCACATTCAAATTTTTTAGCAATTTTGGTCATCTACAATTCTGAAAAGAAAAGGATTAAAAATGAAATTCATAAAAAAATTTATGAAACAATCATGATGACATGATAAATCACTTGGTTCACAACATAATTGTTATATAATCTTTAGAACTAAAAGTATATAGAAAATGAAAACATTACAAATCTTATTTAAAGAAGTTTACAAATAATTTGGAGCAAAATACATAATTAATCCTAGGGACAACAGAACTATCTTAAAGAAGTACTAAATTATCATGTTTTTGCTTAAAAGAGGTATATCTGTGAATTATGTTTCAAAACAATAAATAATCTATTTATTTATTATAAAAAAATAAATCAAATTAAATTGAATTAAATTTATTCATTTATTTTATAGATGATTAATTATTCATCCATTATTTTTCAAAATTTATTGGATTCTTCAGTTAATACTTACAAATTAAAATTAACGCGTTAAATGTGTTTTTGTCGTATTTTTTTTATGAATTTAATTTTAGTTTTTATATTTAAAAATTAATGAATTAATTTTCATATTTTTTAAAAATTATGTAAATTTGAAGTATTATTTTTATAATAATATAAATATTATTAAATATTGAAATTAAAGTATAAAATAAATAAAAATCATTTTTGTTTCAATTATATTAAACTAAAAATTCAGTAAATATTAAATTTAAATATAAAAGAATGTCTTTCAGGCCTAAACAATCATAAAAGCAAGCTACCAATGTATATATGCTTTAAAGCACATATTAATGATACGTGGTTAATAGAGTTACCAATAACAACGTCTTTATAAATTTCATATCTTCCAAAACTAAAGGATGAATAGAACTTGTTCAATTCTACCGCAAGATACTATAATAGTAGCATTCAATTCCTAGACATCAACATCCATCAAAGCCTGATGGGAGCATTATTATTGGGCCTAGCAAGGATATTAGTAATTACAATTGTTATACGTAGTTCTCAGAGTTACTGATCACACCGCTTTTCCTTTTTGTATTTTTTTATTAGAACAAAATTATATTCCAATTGTGTTTTTTTAATTAAATTTAAATTTTTATGCATAAAATTTACATTTTATTATATACATTATATATTATATATTATGAGATTAAATTTATAAAAATAACGATATCAATTATAAAATATATAAGTGTTGTTTTTATCACAGTATACTCAGATGACTTCTAGCTAATATTTTTTTTAGTGTGCACCTTTTTTTAGTGTGATTGCATAATTAGTGAGAAGGCAAAATGGGTTGAGTTTTACGGATTCATTCATTAACCAACTAAATCATGTTGATAATTTTAGTTATTCTAATATATTTTTACTTATCTAGTTCAAAGTAAGATGAATTAAAGTGATTGGCTAATATCTTTTAAAAGATATTTATATATTATAATTAAAATAAAATAAAATAAATTATAATTTAAAGCATTATATATTTTTATTATATTATTATAATATATAATTATATTATAATATTTTAATTTCAATTATATATATTCACAAATTAAATTTAAATTATGTGTTATAATTGATTATTTTATATATAAATATAGTAATTTTTTAATTTATCTAATGAAAATATATTAATTAATAAATAAAAATTTAAATAATATTCGTAAAATTAAAAGTGCATTATATATATATATATATATATATATATATATATATATATATAGGTATATATATATATAGGATATCTGGATATAGCTGAATGTCACGTTAAGACAAAAACCAAGAAGGGATGAATTTGTTTCTTATAAAAATTATCTCTTTAAAAATTGTTTGCAACATTTTACCAATATAATAGAGCACTTGAAAAGTAAAGAGATAAGAGAAGAAGATTACACAAGTATTTTACACTGATTCGGATCAAAAGACCCTACATTCAATTGTTAATCACTCTAAAAGAGGATTAAAGTAGTCACTAAAATAATGTTTTAAACAGATTACAAATAGTAAATATTAGAAAACACCTCTTTGAATCACACAAGAGATGAATATCTCCTTTAAAGCCACAAAAGATGAAGACAACTTTCTTAGGGACATCACAATGTAACATCCTAGATTTGCAACCAATTATATAAAAAAAATTTGTAAGTTATTATATGGTTATTGTAATAAATATGTACTGAGTATTATGTAGAATTATTATAAAATTTGATTGTAGTAATTTTATCTTAGGAAAAATTATAAAATAAAAATCCAAGGTTAATATAATAATTTCTTAATAATTCATAATAATTAAATTAAATTAAGGATAAATGCATAAATAAATATTTAGGAATTTATTACTATAAGTGAAAAATATTAATAATAAACTTAGTTAAAAAAATGAAAAAATGAAAACAAAAAGAGAGAAACAGAAGGTCGGTGGTGGCCTAAATACATTTGAATTAAGTCGGTGAAGAATCAAATTGAATTAAGGCGGTGGAGAATTAAGGCAGTGAAGAAAATCCTAGAAGGAATTAAGTCGGTGAGTAAGTTTATAAATAGGAGGAAATTGGAAACATACACCAACACAATTCACGACCAACTTGAAGAATAAACAGTGGCACCAAAATTTTGGGAAGAAGAATTCGAGAGAAAGGAGGAAAGGAGGACTGATGAGCCATTATTTTCCCGCATTTTCTTATCTTTATGTACTTATCTTAATTGGTGCATTGTGTTTAATTGTCTATTATTAGTGCATTTTCAATGATTGGGCTTCATTGGGCCAATAATTTAGATTTTAATTAATTTGGATCTATTTGATCTAATTTTTGCTTATTTTTATTTTCAAGACAGTTTAAAGCAATTTTGGGCTTGGAAAATTGGGTCAAATGTCATATTTTATTCTATACAATTTAAAGCAATTTTGGGCTTGGAAGATTGGGTCAGATGCCATGTCAACTGTCCATTAGAATCAGTTTTTTTGTTTTTTATTTTTTATGTGTTTTGTGGGCTAGTTGAACCCAAACCTAGATTAAGATTAGGGTTAGGGTTATCCATATAAAGGAGAGGCATCCAGATAGACAACACACAAGGACTTCGCAGCCACCACACAACCGCCTTTCATCTTCTGCAATTTATATTCAAGTTTGTTTACTCTTCTGTCATTATTTTTAAATTCTTGTTTCCATTTTAATTATGTTTCTTCTAATGTGTTTTGAACTTTCCATGGATAACTAAATCTTTGTATTGATTTTCTGAGAAAAATGCAAGTAGATCTTTGAGGTTTTGTTCTTTAATTTCATTTTGTTTGTTCTCTTAACTCTTCATCTTCTAATCTCAGTATTGAATTATAATCTGTTTATGCTTAATAAACCGAAACTTATATCACAATTTGCTTAATTCTGTGTTAGATATGAGATTATGTGATGTATGCAATGCTTAATTGTATAAGGATAATTTGGGGTTAATATTCGCTTAGTTGGTTAATTTCATGTTGGAATAAGGGTTAAGGAAAATTTTGGATTAATCTTCGCTTAGTTGGTTAATTTCATATTGGAACAAGGGTTAAAACTAATTTGAGATTAATCTTTGCTTAGTTGATTAATTTTGGATTAGAATATAATTTGGGATTTACCTTCGCTTAGTTGGTTAATTTTGAATTAATTTCGTAATCTAGGATAAGTGACACTGCATTAGAATCCGAAAAATCAATTGCATTTTAATCTGTTTTTAATCCGCATTTTTATAATCTGCTTTTGTTCTGTTTCATCTAATATTTTAATTTTGAAAAACTCCCTTTTTTGTTACTGTTCTAAATTTAAAAATTGATAAGCTTTGATAGAAATTTGTGGTCTTTTGGAGACGACTTAGGAAAGCTTCCTAGTACTACATTTATCTGTTTTAATTATTTGACCGAAGTACGACATCGATCAAATTTGGCGCTGCTGTCGGGGACCAAGATTTTTGTCTAGGTTTTCAATTTTTATTTTTTGTTTTCGTTTTTTTATTTGAATATTTTATTTGATTGTCGGTTATTTAATATTTTATTTGGTTTACTTGTTATTTGGATATTTTATTTAATTGCTAGTTTTTAATATTTTATTTGATTTTCAGTTATTTAAATATTTTATTTGATTTTCGAGTTATTTAAATATTTTATTTGATTTTTAGTTATTTAAATATTTTATTTGATTTTCAATTATTTGAATATTTTATTTGATTGCTAGTTTTTAATATTTTATTTGATTTGCTTGTTATTTGGATATTTTATTTGATTGTCGGTTAATTGAATATTTTATTTGATTTTCTATTTAATTTAACATTCTTACTTCTCTTAATACTATTTTGATAGCCCATTGTTGTTCTAAAACTCTTTTGGGTTAAAAAAAATAAAAAAATAAATATAAATAATAATTCAAAAAAAAAACAATTTCATCTCTAATTTGTTTTCTAGCTTTATTTAAAAAAATTTATAATTTTCATTCTCATAGGAAACTCTGCATATAGCTTGGTAGTGTGAGAGTGCATGTCTAGGAGGGTTCTGGCTAGGAAATACTTGGTACTTAAGTGTGTCCATTAGTGACCCGCCTTTCTTTCCTAGGAACCTACCTGATGTACTTATTCACGGTCTACCATTGTCATGCTAGTAAATAATTGATTTCTTTTTAGAATTTTTTTTTAACTCTTGGGAAATACATGAATTGTTGAATATAGTGCAT